ACAGCTTAATTTATATTTCAAAGTTTAAGTTGCAGTTAAAGTGTAATGAGCAAGTAAAGTATTGTAATACTATTATGATAATACTTTTAGTAATTGTTTTTACTTAACACGATACTTAAAAAAGGAAAAAGGAAAAATGCAAATATTACAATATTTAAACCACTTTAATTAGTTGTCAGAAAACTATTTTAATACGTTCATGCTGAAAATGAAAAAATGTATTATTTTTAAAGAGTATTGAATTTTTATTGTAAAAAGCTATAAAACAAGTAAAATTAAAAACTAATTTTTAAAACCTAATGTTTTTTATATGTTATTAAAAAAAACATTTCGCAATCAATTTTTTCTGGTATTAATATTTTTTTGTTAACTTTTGGCTTTATGCATGTGTGAAAACACTTTCAGGATGAGGCAGGTCTCAAACCATAGACATTCCATTTACAAAGTCAACATCTTAACCAAATAAGCTAAACGCGCAAATAAGTAGGTTTAAATAATATGCTTATTTTAAAAACTATTATTCTTCTTTCCATATAAAAAATAAACTTAATTAAAATTAACTAAATTGACTTATTGCAAAACTAATTATTGAATATTGTATAGTCATCAAGCAAGAGTATGTATGCAAAATTTGGCGTAAGTCTATCATCAGGAAGTGGCTCAAAAATTGATTGCAAGATTTAATGCTTACAGGTAGATAAAAACAAGAAGTTAATAAAAGCATTGGAAAAAAAAATGCTTAAACATGCATATCCGTAGATGAAATGAATTGAATGATTCAAATGAGATGAAAAAAAAAACATTACATACCACGTTTTTTATAACTTTTTGCTATTACTATAAAAAATCCAAGTATAATAAACTATTAAAATTTAAGTATAAATAATTAAATCATTCAAATGGTTTTTAAGTTAATGTTTTCATTCAAATTTTTCGTACAATTTTTTTGTTCAAATGGTTTTGTAATAAAAAGTAAGAAAAAAATTTGGTTTAATAAATCCATTTATATTTCGTTAAGTTAAAGTATATGCTTAAATTATTTTTTTGAAATGCTTAAAATTTTTTATTTCAATTTTTCTATAATTTAATTTTTGGTTTAACATTTGTAATAATCACTGGTTTAATTTTTGTAATAGAATGTTTCTACTTTAAAAAAACAAAAACAAAATTACTATTCAAAATGTTTACAATTTAAATAAAATTTTCTCCCTCACTTGCACTATGTTCTGATATTGTCACATTTTTCATATTCTATTCCACATTTCTTCTTAAAATAATTTTTAGTTAGAAGCTTATATTTTGTGTTAACAACATATTAGATATAAATGAAAACATTTGTATGGTATTTGTATAACTTTTGCGAGTAACTGTAATTTACTCTAGTAACTTAACTGGTTGTTTTGATTTAGTTTATAAGTAAATTTTCTGTGATGTACTTTATCCATTTAGTAAATCAAAATAAATGTAATTTTAAAAGGTTCAAGGTCGTTAAAGTGAAAAACTTTAAGCAAAAAAGTTGCTGGTTTCTATTAGCATTGCTCAACTATTAAAAAATTTTTTAATAAAAAAATATATATTTTAATATACTTAAAGTTGTAAAAATAATAATATAAAGTTGCTGATAAAATAATAATTCAAATTAGTAATAATAAGTTAATTTGGTGCAATGTTTTAAAAACAAAGATAAAAATCAAGGTGTTTTCTTAAAAAAAATGAATGAATAAAAACTTAGCTTTAACGTCTTTTCCCTTTTAAACTTTTTGATTTAATGACCTTTTAAAATATTATTGGCTTCCACTCAGAGATTTAAAGTAATTTAAATTCAAAAGTGCTTTACGTTAAATGAAAATTTTTGCTCGAAAAAGCAAATGATCATTTCTATTCAAAAGATAAATTTAGTGTGATGTACTTTATAAACCCTAATAAAAAAACTTGAACAAAAACATTACTTTTAAGAATTGCCAAAAAAATGCTAAATTAGGAAAAAGTAAATAAACAACCAAAAAAAAAAAAATTTGCGAAGGTGTAAAAATCAATTGAGATTAGCGATCACAATACGCTTTCGAGCCCTGTAAAGAAAAAATTTTTTTTTTTCAGAATTTACCTTTTTTTAGTCTTGTTTTTGAATTTTTTTAAATTTTATATATTATATATATATATATATATATATATATATATATATATATATATATATATATATATATATATATATATATATATATATATATATATATATATATATATATATATATATATATATATATATATGATTATATTAATTTATGATTTGGCAAACTCCATATATGTATATATGGAGTTTGCCAAAAATCATAAATTAAAGTTTAATAATAATACTAAAAATTATTGAAAATGAATTATTATTAAATACTAATAGATAAGCAGGTAGCAATAAAATATTAGCAGTTACCGCAATCATTTGCTGCTCATGGTGGTTCAAGGGGTTTTATTGAAAAGCTATGAAAGTTTGCAGATCATCCTGTTAAATGTTTGTCTGCCCTTTTATTATTGGTTCTGAATAAAATGCAATAAAAAACAAATAAACATTGTAAGAATTGAGTAAAAGAGAAAAATTGAGTAAAATGATCTGTGAATCTTGCACAAGAAAATGTTAAGGGTTCAAATACAAGATTTGTTCTAAAGTCTTTTTGTCTAAAGTCTTTTTTTGCGTAACTCATATACTAGTTATAAAGAATTGGGCTCAAATTATAATTATTGTAATTATAAAGTGATCATGAGGGGGCTCATACTTATAACTTTAGAGACTTAATAGAGCTTATTGTGGAGAAAAAATGTATAATCTTATCTTCTATTTGCATCTGGAAATGCTAACTATATATCACCCAAATATGTATCTAAGTATATTAATATTATATGCAACTTTGCCAAGTGTCCCCTGCTTGAGTCTCTTCAAAGAAAAAACTATGCATTTTATTCAGTTGAGACCTCAGATATAACATTCATTGAACAACTAGTTATTTATACATCTTTTGAACATTGTGGCTTAGTAAAAAAACATTTTATTGGACTGCTACCGATAAGTAAGATAAGGGGACAAAAACTTGTTTAAAGTTATTAATGATTTTTTTATAATAATAGATGTTCCATTGCACAATGCTCATTATGCAAGCATGGATACAATTAATGTGAACTCAGGTGAGAAATGGGGTTTGAAGGCATACTTAAAGCATTCAGTCCGGCAACTAATTTAGGTTGGCTGTAGTAGACACAGGTTAGCATTATGATTTAAACATCTTTTATCTGACTTTGAATGTGTAAGGAAATTCAAGGTGTTTTCTTTAATCTTTAGAAATTTTTCAAATATCAAACAATAGTGATAAATTTACTCCAGGAAAGTGCTAATATTTATGGCAATATTGACAACATTGTGCAAGTCCAACTCGATGAACAGCTCACCAAAGAACTTGCTAGATTTTTTTTGGTAACTACAACAATTTTTTAATTGCCTTATGTACTTACTATAACGAGCAGAAAGAAGCAGAAGCCCTTGGCTTATTTGTGCAAGCTTCAAATAAAAAAACAATACTTCCAATTTTTATGTTGTTAGATGTTTTTTTGGTTCTGCAGTCATCTCAGCAAAATATTTGTTTGAGTGACATTCCTTTATATGTTTAACAAACAGAGTTAAATTTAAGTGCATATATAAATGAATCAGTTAGAAAATACTTTAAATTAGAAAATTACAAAAATATGAAATTTACTGCCAGTGACATTTATACATCTCTACCTACCTACATCAAGTCGTTTGGGCAGGGAAAAAATAACTTTTGAAAACTTTGAAGAGTATTTTTTTAACATTTTTAAGTTCTTTTAAAATTGAGTTGACGAAAGCATTTAAACAAATGAAGTTTTGGAAATATTTAGTTTTGATCCTCGCAATTTTACTACAAAGATTGCTAATCTGATTAATTATGGCAAAGCAGAGTTGTCAACATTATTAAATCACTATGGGAACCTTCAGGAAAGTAATCAATTCAGTCAAACGATGCAACAAGACAGAGATGTAAATCCGAAGAAAACAACAGTCGAATTTGAGGGTTTTAAATTTTTAATATTTTTAATGCTATGGAAAATATTTTAAAAGGAATGAAAAACATTTTTGTGAAATTTTTTAAATGCTATTAATGCTATTAAAAAATATTTCCCATAGCGTAAAATAATAAATATTTTTAAAGGAACGGAAAACATTTTGATTTTAAAATGATTAATGCTTTTACTGAACTACAGCGACAAAGAAAAAACGAGATTAGTAGTCATACTTGTCAAATCTTGTCAAACCTAGTCAAACCTTGGTTTAAAAAGAACTAGTTTAAATCAGGATTTGTATATTAACTGCATGTTTTTATAGAATTTATTTTTAATTTTTTTGATAAGTGTTGCTTGTGTAGAAAATCTGTTTTCTAAATTTAAACTAGTAAAAAATCGCAACCAGTTGTCTCAGAGTACACTTGAAAGTCTTTTGATGATATTAACCAAAAGTCCTGAACAAGGATTTAAAAATGAGGTTCTTGAAAGTTTCATAGAAGAACTGAAAAATAGAATATCAGAGTTAAATTATAATTAAATATAATTTAAATATTTATTTTACCTCTGAGTTTGAGCAATTAATTAAAAAAACATAGCAGTGTGTCTGATTAATAAGAAAAAGTCTTCTTCAAAAATTTATATTATTTTTAATCAAAAATAAAATTTTTTTTCAAGTGATTTTCTACTACTTTATAATTGCTCTGTTCTTTTAAGAACATTGGCACTCTATTTTAAAATTATTTAAATATATATATATATATATATATATATATATATATATATATATATATGTATATATATATATATATATATATATATATATATATATATATATATATATATATATATATATACATGTATACATATATATATGTATATATATAAATTGACTTTTACAAACAATCAACAAATATAAATTTTTTTTATTATTTTAGAAATTAAAAAACCTTTAAAAGTTGAGGGAAGTCCTTCTTTTCTATCAATGTCAAAACCAGAACCATTTCTTAAAAAGATTATGTTTAAAAGCTGTTCAAGTAATTTTTTTTTATTTATAATTTTCAGTTTTATTTTCTATAAAAGGATTCCTAAGTATAGCAAACATATTCATTTATAAGTAAATGAAAAGAAATTAGGTTTGATGTATATTATTTTAACTGTTTATTTATACAATATTTATATTTATTTATATATACTTAAATAATATTTATATAAACCAAACTGTAATGAAAGTATATATACAAACATTTGCATTCAAAAATAAACTTTTTTTTTTGATCACAAAAATATTGTCACTGTCACTGAAATTTGTCAAAAAGTTTATTTACCTAAATTCTTAATATGTTTTATAAAAAATGCAAATTGCATATTGAAACATTTTTAATTTGTTGAAACATCTTAAAGTGGTTGAAATAAAATTTTTAGAAATGTTATAAATTTTTTTTTTAGTTCAAACTTTTACAATTTTCTAATAAAAATACAATCAAAAAATAAGTTTGTTTATCAGTTTTATTCTATAAATTTTATTCCAAAAGTAAAAAAAAAAGTTCTTAGTCCATTTCATTGTACAAGTTTTATTCTCAAAGTAAACATTTTTCAATATAAAGTTTAAAAGATATTCTAACTGTTTAACAGTATTTCTGATTTGCTGTTGATTGTTTTTTCTATGAACTGTTTTTATATCCAAAGTGATAAAGACTTTTAAACTATAAGAAACTATAAGATTGAACTTAAACTATTTTTTTCAATACTTTTTTTTTTTTTAACATCTTCACTTCCAAGGCTGCAAGCAACCACTATTAGAGTTGAAAGTTAGGTTAAAATATTCTTACAAATGTAGTTGAGGTAAAAATAAAGAGAATGAATAAATTCAATCTGCATAAGGTTTGTGTAACAGCAAAACCTAAAAACCTAAAGTGAAGTGAAAATTGCTGTTTGTAGGGTTAGCAAAGTTAGTTATGCAAGACAACTTCTGTGAGATGCTTTATTGGATATGAGTGTTTAGTGGGTGCCAAATTTTTACAATACAGTTATGCATTGGTAAAATTCCAAATGATTGAAGGAAAAATTAGATAGTAAAGAGTTGTAAGTTGTAAAAAAAAGTAAAAAGATAAGTTTGTGAAGGAACCAGAGGTGCACCTAATGTTGGTTTGAATTTTAAAAAAATTTAATAATTATCTGTGGGTGGAGTTTTTTGATCTTAAAAATGCTTTTACCTTAATATCACAAGTGTGGTGGACTTAATGAGTGTGGTAATAAATAAATGCTGGAAACAGTTGTGACTTACAATAATTATCACAACAAAAGATAATGTAAGTTTTTTAAAGTAAACTTGGTAGCTACTCTAAGCAGGTTACCATGGTAGCTACTCTAAGCAGGTTATTTATGTTTAGTTACAAATTGAAGAATTACTATTGAAACTTCAGTTAAAAATTTGAGTGCAAGAAAAAGGATTCAAGACAAACACAAATAAAACAAAGTTATGCATTCTATAATGAAAAATTAACAATAGCATCAATAAAAAGTGCAAATCTGTTATTTCACCTCTCTTTTATGGTTCAAACTTTGTCACCTCATTCAAAGATAAAGCTTAATTGTTTGCCAAGAAGTTTTTATCAATATATTGATTCCACTAGTTGCATTCTACCTGATTAAGTCGTCAAACAGGTTGATCAATTACTTGACATTCGTATCACTGTAGCTTCTGTATCTAAAGTGATTTCCTGCTTCTACAGCTTGTGATCCAAAGAATATATAAATACCTGCATGATCCTTGTGGTCCGGACAACTGTTATAGTCTTGCAGAAAAGTTTTTAGGAGCTGTTGTCTATACTTTCAAAACTATTCAACAAGTGTTTATCAGAGTCTTGTTTTCCAGCCTGCTGGAAAATAGCATCTGTTATCTCTATTTTCGAAAATTCTGAAGAGCAATCTGATTCGTCTAACTACTGTCCTATTAGTCTTCTTCCTATCATAAGCAAGGTTTTTGAATCTTTAATTAATAAACACTTAATCTATCATCTTGAATCTAATAACTTACATTCTGATCATCAATATGAATTTTGATCTTCTTGTTCTACAGCTGTTTTGATAACGGTAATAACCAATAGGTTTTATTGTGCATTAGATAAAGGTGGAGATGTTAAGGCCATCGCTCTTAACATTTCTAAAGCGTTTGATAAAGTTTGGCATCAGGGTCTTTTCCACAAGCTTTCTTCTTATGGTGTATCTGGAAACATCTTTAAGAATATTAAATCCTTCCTTTCCAATCATAACATAAAAGTAGTCCTTGATGGACAGCACTCTTCTTCTTATTCTGTAACCTCAGGGATTCCTCAAGGTTCCATCCTTGGCCCTATACTCTTTTTGATTCACATTAATAATTTTCCAAATATTCTCATATCTGAGGTGGCATTGTTCGCTGATGATACTACCATTTATTCTTGTCTTGATAAGAAGCCAACACTCTCTGATCGCTTGGAGGGGGCATTTAAGCTTCAAAAGGATCTCTATTTTGCTACAGCATGGGGCTCACAGTGGCTGGTGAACTTTAATTCAGATAAAACTCAATTTTTTTCAGCCAATCGTTATCACAATAATTTTTATTTATGAACGATAATGTGCTCGATGAGTCATCTACCTAGGATTAACTCTTGCTTTCAATCTTTTTTGGAAACCGCATATCAAATCCGTTGCAAAATTAGCATCCACTAAGATTTCATCTCTTTATCGAGCTAAACACTTTTTTACTCCGGATTCTATTTTCTATCTATATAAATCTCAAATCTGGCCTTGTATGGATTACTGTTGATATATCTGGGGCGGATCTTCTAATGATACTCTTTCTTTTTTAGACAAGGTGGAAAGACAAGTTGTAAACATAGTTGAACCTGCTCTTGTAGCCAACTCCAACAATTATCACATCATTGTAATGTTGCTTCTCTTTCTCTTTTCTACAAATATTAATATGGACACTGCTCTAAAGAGTTAGCGTCTCTTGTGCTATCTACTTAAATTCATGCTCATGTTACTTGTCATTCAATTAAGTCTCATCCTTTTTACGTTACTATTCCTAAGTGCTCCAAAAACTCGTCTTTTTATTTTTCTTCATCTAGTTTTTTTTCCTCAAACATCAGTTCTTTGGAATTGGCTTCCTTCAGCTTTCCTGATTCATATAATTTGCAATCTTTTAAATTGTCTGTCAATCCTTATTTTTTGTTAAAAAAAAAAAAAATAAGCTTAAAATGCTGAAATTTAACCATTTGGAGTATTTATGAAAGAAGTTAGAGATTACTCTGTTGTTTATAGAGTTTGTTAGTAAGAGCATTACAAAATATCTAGTGGACTACAAGATATGTAGTGGTCTACAAGGTATTTATAATGTTGTTGTTCTAAATGTAAAAAGAACAATCCAAAAAAAAAAACTAAAAAAATAATGTTTGTTGGTATGTTTAGTTATATCAGATAGATGTTGAAATTAAAATCTAGATGTTGAAATTAAAATCTAATTTTTCAAGACTTTAAACCACTTTCAAATAAATCAAGTTTACTAAAAAATGTCTGATTTAACTAAGGTGCAACTAAGCATAATTTAACTAAATCATTTGTTAACATTTGTGGTTTTAAATTAAAAGAATTTTCTATAATTAGAATAATAGCTTCCAGTTTTGCAAGCAAGAAAAGTTTGCAGAAAGTGTTTAAATTTTTATCAGGAAAAGAAAAAGATCAGTTAATTCACTCATTACTAAAAACCAAAGCAGAATATCACAAAGTTAAACAAACATCTGCTTGAAATTTTTTCGAAAGGCAGATACAAACCTCAAGTTTTTTTGATAAAAACCTGATTAAAATAAAAACCTGATAAAAAATCATAAAAATGTCAAATTTTCAAATGAAAGCTTTAAATAACTTAAAGTTAAACACTGGAATATCTTCAAATGAAAAAATAAAATTTACTAATTGTATTAGATCTAATATAGTTAAGAAGGCTGTCCCTACGTATCACTGAAAAGCATAGGGAAAGTTTGAATTTAAGTTTATATCACAAAGCAGAATAAATTAACCTGCTGTCAACAAAGAAGAACAGCAGACCAGAAAACCTTAAGTGAAGTGAATTTTTCTGTTTATAAGGTTAGCAAGGTAACTAATCAAGACTGATGGTTCTTCTAATGTATTATTGAAATGTGGAAGAGTTTATGGTAATGCAGTTATGCATAAATGTAAAATTCAAAGTGATTGGAAAAACATCGAAGGTAAAAAAATAGATGTTTAGAAATGTTGTCCATAAACCAATTATATGTAGACCTCTTAACTCAATCATTTTAAAACTGATTCCACCCATCAAACTTCTGAATGTTGTGAACCATTTTTTTGAAGCATTCAAAGATGTTTGGATAATGAACCAGATAATTAATAATGAACAGACACATGAAGCCTACTGAAGTTTCTCCTACATTATCTTTTCTTTACATTGTCCTCATAATGTTTTTAGAATACTGGCCATACCTGGTGCTTCATAATTTGAATTGTTTTATGGTTTAATGTATTTCGTTTTTGAACTGAAATTGGTAACTTGCTTAATTCCATACTTTGACACCATCAGATGACATTTTTATTTTATTCTTTAACTTATATTCTTTAAATTTATCTAATATATTATATTTTTTTTTATATAGTTGATAGTTTGATATTTTAAATTATAGGATCTGAAACAGACAGTACGAAACCATTGCAGCTCATAGGTGATACAGGTAACATAGGTAAATAGCAAAAATAATATATGTTTCAGTGCTAATGAGTGTGCATGAAAACATATTTGAATTAGTGCAAACTTTTAGGTAGTTTTAGGTAGTTTTAGGTAATATGTGATAGATAATTTAATGTAAAAAAAATTTATAAGATACAATGAAAGTAAGTAAATTAGCCATTCATTTCATCTATAAATCATTTAGCAATTTAGTTGACCAAACAAAGTACACAGCTGGTGTACTACATACTGGTTTTGATAAACCGCTTGTATAGAAATATTTAAATCTGTGTCCAACAGGGGAGTAATGAAATAACTATAAACCCTTAAATTTGCTTATTACCTAGATATTAGATAACTTTACAATTTGTTTGCTTTTTTTAAAAAAGATTTATTTAAATGGAAAACAAAACAAATCTATAATTCTATAGATATTATATATAAATCTTATATACCCCTTTATGCAAACTCAATTTAGTTACAAAAAAAATTGAAAAGTAATAATTGAAACTGTAAACTTAAAATAAACTTAAACATTTGCATAATTTTCAATTTTTTTTATTAGTATTATATTTTTTTTATTAGTCCTATATTCTTATATATTAATTATAGCAACATATTCTTATATATTAGTTATAGCGACATATTCTTATACAAGAAGTGAATAATAAAAATAAAAGCAATTAATAATAACAAACAATAAAAGAAAATAATAGTCTCAAAGAACTCATTTTTGTCATTAACTCAGGTTTAATGGCTGCTGTGAGTTCTGTGCAAACACACACAAATGAGCATCAAGTAGCTCAATAATTATTCATATTGTTTTTTGAGCAAAGAAAGTTTGCTACTTATGTAAAAGATACCAACATTGAAGATGTTAAAACCTTACTAATTTTCTGAAAATACTGCTTTTAACTTGTTTCTTAGCGATTCTTATTTGCTGAGGTTTGTGTTATGGAGTTAAAGAGTTAAAAGAAAGTTGTAACAGAAAAAAAGGAAAAATTAAGTTATTCAGAGATAAGATAAGAGTTTCAAGTTATTCAGAGATAAGATAAGAACTTTTTCAATGCGTTTTAAATGAGTTATATTATTCTAGTTTAGATTAAATTTTGGATAAAGATCAGATTGAACTGAATTTTAGATTTTTCTTATAAAACAAAAGTTATATTCACTGATAGAGTAAAAACATAAAATACTTATAAAAATTAATATACATTTAAAGCTATATACATTTAAAGTATTATAAACATTATAAACTTTGTAAATAATATAAATGTTATAAACACAATAAACAAATATAAGCATAAAAACAATAAATTTAAAAACACATATTTAAGTGGTAATGTGATATTATATTCATTATGGTATTATAAACACATTTGATATCGTGTTAATAGTGCACGCACACATTAACACATATAATGTATAACACACATACACACAGATAGTATATAACAGGATTTTGGCTTAAAAAGTAAATTTTCATACTTAAACAAAATAAATTTCACTGATCTATATCAGTCCAACAACCAAAAAAATTCAAATTTTTTTTTAAGTACTTCAGATTAAAATATCTGTTTTAATCAAAAAAAGGTTAAACACAAGCATTACAATATTGTAAAATAAAGACACTTGCGCAAAGTTATGTATTGACACCTTAAAAATACTGTACTAATGTGCATACTCTGAATAGAAATAATGAACTCTAAAAAAAATGAATAGAATACATTGCACTATAAGTATTTTTTTATTTCCGTTTATATATATATACATTTTATTCATACTAGCAAAGAAAAATTAGAAGTAAAGAATGTTTGTACTGTGTATTCATGTATGCTCTACATGAATACACAATCCAATATGTTTGTACTGTGCACAGCGGAAAACCACATGGCCAAAAATCAAAAAAAGTTACTTATTCAAATATTAAGTCTGTTAGTGATTTTTGTTACTTACACCCATTGAGCCTGTCACATTTAGAATTTCTAAATGTGACAGGCTCACATAGTGGTCTTGAAGTAGGTTATTAGTGTATTTTTGATAAAAATTTTATTTAAAAATTATTATTTTTTAATATATATGCAGAGACTTCTGGAATGGCGGACGCTTTTTTATAACAAATTTTATAAAAAAATTTTAAAAAAAAAAAGATAAAGGAAACAGAATAAAATAAGAAAAATAAATAAAATAAAAATATAGAGAATGAAGGAAAACCAGAAAAAAATAAATAAAAAACAAATCAAACAAAAAAAAAAAAAGAAACGAGAAAACAACAAAAAACCAAAGTTAAAAGAAAAAAAACATTCAAAAATGGGAAGGAATTAAAAAGGAATTAAAATAAAATATAAAAATTTCTCCATTTTTGAAGAAAGAAAAAAGAATATTTACTTTATTATAAAATTATATATAATGATTATTATATAATCATTGTTACTTTTTTTCCAGTAATTGTTTTAGTTAAATGGTAGATTGTTACATTTTGTCAGTACATAACTGTTTGTAACTTTCCTGTTGGTGTATTATATTCAATTGTTGTTTTAAAATTAATATTGGTTTATTATCATATAATTTTCTAATTATTTTTATAACTTTTAATTTATCATCATTATTATTATCATTATTATTTGTATTATCAATTCTAGTTATTTACTTAAGATTAGTTTTTAACTATTTGTAAATGACCTCGATTGTAAGAACTTTTATCAAAATATATATTGGTATTAAATATATAGATCATTGAAAAATTGACAATATATTCATCATTGGAAAGATTATAATATAGGCTGTTAAAAATTAAAATAATAAACTTCCTGAAAATGTTGATACTACAATTTTTATGCATTGAAAGTAAAAAATTCATCACAAAAGTATTAAATTTCAAATTTGGTGAAGAATTAAAAAATTGTTTCAAGTTGTACCTTTCCATATTTTGATATTTTTAAGTCTTTAATGTCTACTAATTACCCTAAGAAGTGTGGCTGCAATCATCCGCCATCTTGAGCGCAAAATAATCTTAAAAATTTAAACATTTTTTGAATAAAATTATTTTCTTTTTTCATTTATTACTAAAACTGAAAAAAAATCTACTTCAAGGCACGAAAGACTAAAGTAAATTTAATAGTAACCAAAGTGTATTTGCCTGGAAAAATCTGGACTTATAAATCACAGTAGGTGGTTAACTCTTGTTAATCGAGTTTGCAGCTTTTCATATTTACAATTAAACCTGGAAAAAATCTAAAGTTGATATCTTAATTCATCTTCCTTTACTACGAACCAAGTTGGATTGCTAAAAAGTTTGAACCTCTTTGCTTTAATGGCCTTACAGTTGTTGAAATATTTACTTCTATTGATTGCCAAACCTTAAAATAAGACAAGTACCAAAATCTTAAACTTAAACAAGTAGATTTCAAGTACCAGAAATTAAATTAAATGCTGGAATGATCTAATTAACTGGAATATTGCTCAAATCAAATACTTACATGCATACATACATACATACATACATACATACATACATACATACATACATACATACATACATACATACATACATACATACATACATACATACATATAACATACATACATAAAGCGTGTTATTTAAGATTATTAGTATTTCTTACCAATAATTTTTAAACAACCTTTTCCCATCATAATTTCTTTTAATTCACATAAGCCCTCGCTTCAACCACATAATTTGTCTAATTATTTATTTTTGAATTGTAAATAAGAGGTACAATATTTGTTTATTAGTTCAAAGCTATTCATTATATATTAAAATCCTACTTTGATTTTTGTACTTTAGTCCATTCACTAGCCTATAGTTGAGGTTTAAAAGTTATTCTCTTTTATATTATAAAAAGGCTTTAAGACATTCAATGCACCTAACTACTTTCTATCAGAACTGATTTTTCGTACCATTATTATGTGATTTTTTGATCTTTTACTCATATTTTTGTAAAGATTTGCTCAATGAATGTATATGAAATGTGTTAACAAGTTTTAAAGTTTCTATTTTTACTTAGTTAAACCAGAAACAAGTAAAGCTATAAATCCGAAGTTTAAAATTGCCAAATGCAAACGTGAATTATCAAAAGGACTATCAACATTACAACATTCATCTGTGCAGCAATCAATTAACATAGATTCTGATTCAGGTATTTTTTATTATAAAACATTGTTTTAACTTTTAGTTTTACATTCTTTGAAAGTGTAATAAACATACATTTCAAAGTTGTGAGAAAATAGTTTTGATGTATACTATTCTAATTGGACTGCAACAAAAATCTATATACTAACAACATTTGTATTTTAAAATTAACTTTCTTTCAATTATCAAATTAAAACAGTTAAATATTTGATTATGAGGATGTTTATTAGGATGTTTCATATTATTATGAAACACCCTAATAATAATATTTCATATCAGGATTATTATTAGAGTGTTTTATATTAGGGTGTTTCATATTATATCAACATTTGAAATTGAACTTGCACCATGATTTATAAATTGACCAAATTTTGATAATTTTCAGGGTCCCCTCCAACCCAATTTTTGTCCAGATTGGTTGGGTGTTTCAAACACCTGGCTGTGACCTTAAAATTTATTCTGTAATTTTTTTTAATCTCGTAAATATTTGATTGGATTGAAGATAAGGAAAAATTAAGAAGATAGCCTGCAGGATATTCAGTCTGCAGGATGTTCAGTCTGCAGGATATTCAGTCTGCAGGATATTCAGTCTGCAGGATATTCAGAAATTGGTAAAAAAGATTTTTGCTCAAAAAAAAGTGTTTATTACTTGGTGAAAACTTAAAAAGTGTTTATTACTTGGTGTTTATTACATATGAAAAATGTTCTTGTAAATTGTCCTGATGACTGTATCCTTTTTGCAGTGAAAAAACCATGGTTAGGTGGAGGTTACAAAGATAAATTAGTCACAGACAAATCTATAAAGTAGGAATTATAATTTATACACTTATTTTTATAAACTTAAATTTATAAAATTTTAAATTTACTTTGATAAATTTAAAATTTTTATAAATTAAAGGTTTTGTTTTGAATACCACTCTTACTAATCTGTATCATTATTATTATTGATTATTTTTTAATTATTAATTATTATTACATTTGGGTTTATAACATTTGAAATAACCAAAAGGTGATTTTTCTGATTAACTTTTGATTAAATTAAAAAACATTTCTTGTTATCAAAAAATAAAACAAATGTAGCAGCAGTACTTTGGTTGTTGTGGTTATATACCGTGTATTATATGGTGTATTGTTGTAAATGTGTCATTGTTATTTTTTAATTTCATTTACTTTTTTAATTTTATGTCATAAATTATTGTATCATGTTTGTAGGGATAATATTACTTGTTTAATCAATGATTGGGAGACATTGAAGAAAAGTAAGGACTCTAAAGCAGCAGAAAAATCTACGGAAAAATGGCTGATTTTTCATTATCTCATTCAACTATTTGGCAAGTTCAAAAGAAATCTATTTGGGAAAATGCTGAACAGTATAAAAAAAAAATGTTAAAATTATTGCCAGTAAAGTTATTTTTCCCAATAAGAGCACATTTTGATGGGAAAATCATAGAAAATATTAAGGTAAAAAATTAAAAAGATGTAAAAAAAAAAAAAAAAAAAAAAAAATATTGATGGTAAATATTGATGGGGAAATGAAGCTGCTAGTTCTTCTTTGTTACTGGACAAGTTCAATACAATGCTTTAGTTAAAATACTGGAAAAATATTGAATATGTGACAATGTGAAAGGTTTATGTTTTGATACCACTTCTACAAATACGGGAAGATTTTCTGGTACCAATTTCAAATTTATTCAAAAGCAAAACTCAATTTTACTAGAGAAGGCTTGTAGGAGACATAATAATGAATTACATTTCAAAAACTTCTTTGAAAAACTTACTTTGAAAAACTTTTGTAAAAACTAAACTTTGAAAAACTTTTGTAAAAACTAAATCTAATATTCGAATGCCCAAATAACCTGATTCTTCAAAGTTTGTTAAATACTATAGTCAATCTATTGTTAACACTTTCTTAGAAATCACTAAACTTGAAACTGTAACATTTTGCAAAAAGGCTCTTAATGAAAATATTTTCGCCAGAAGAGATTATGAAAAGTCATTGAAACTAAGTCTTTAGTCCTAAAAGAGTTTTTCAAATTCAAGCTCTAGGATCTCAAGCGCATATTATGTTTTTATTTAAAGATTCAGATATTGAGTTTGCAGCTTTCTGCTATAAATAGTAAATAAAATAAGAAATGTAGACAATGGCCGAATTTATCTCAATCTTTTTTGGCTGGTTTTTAAGAACTTCTTTACCAAACACTGTGTCATTCCAAGATCTAAAAGTCTATTGGTAAATGAAAAAATATAGAGAATTCTGAAGCATCCTGGCAGCATTCTGAAACAATATTGAATGGAATTGATGCCACAATGGTTTCAATGGAATCACATTCATGGTATCTTGATGATACCTTGGTTCCCCTTGCATTTTTAGATCAAAAAATTTCTGAGATGTTGCAAAAATGCTCTTCTTAAAACCAGTTCCTAAACTGTTCAGGCATTAAGAGAAATTAAATTTAAAAGTGTTAAAAGCTCTAAACTTTAAGATAGAAAAACCACCAAGTGCTGCACATTTAGTGAGAAAACTCTTGGTTCACATTTATTATAATATTAAACCTGATTAAATTGAATGATGAACTTTGGTTAAACAGCTCTGCACTACTATGGGAGTACATTGACCAGATAAAGATTTTTTCCAAATTTGTCACTAAGCTTGCGATGGTCAATTACAATTCTGAAAGATCTATTAAAGTTGTATCTGACTTTGTGAACAATCTTCATAATAAAAACAGGAGCTATTACTTGCTATTTGTCAAAGGAGAGAAAATCTTCATGAAGCAAAACTAATGAAGATTTGTAATTAGCATATGAAGCAATTGCAAAGTAACTAAAATAATTTTAAAATGATACTGTTTGTTTAATGACAAAATATTGAATTGTAAATGTAATTTTTTAATACTTAGTAATATTTCTACAACAATATAATAAGAATCATTAAAAGTTTTTTAAAAATCATAAAAAGATCTTTCATATACATCCAAATCTTGAGGCAACAAATTAATAACAACAATACTCCTTTCAACCACATTGCAATAAGTTTTCTAAATCTAAATTTTTCTTAAAGAACAAAAATAAATAAAGAATTACTAATAAACTCTTTATTATTAAATTCAATTAAAAATTAGTTCAAGGTCAGGTTACCTCCAAGAGTCAAAGATTATTTTTTCAATAACCTATATAGAGCTGTAACCACTGGGTGGGCCAGAGGAGATTAGGCCCCATCTTAAAATTATTTTTTTTTCAAAAAGGTTATTTTAATAATAACTTTAAAAATTTAATAACTTTAATTTAAATAAAATTTAGATATTATATCAAGGGTTTATTAAATCTCTAGCCCCAACCCTCAATATCAATATTGCGGTTTTGGCTCTGCTCATATAAAATCTCATTCAAAACTATTATAAAATCTGTTCAGGTAATACTTTGTGTTCTACATCTGTAAACAGTTTATTCAGAAAACGTTTATCATACGCCACCCATTAATTAACACCTTTTTTTGAGCAAAAATCTTTTTCACCAATTTTCACCAATGAAGATTCTGCAGACTTAATTTTTACAACATATTCCTTTTATTTAATTTTCTGAAGATCCTGCAGACTTCCTAATTTTTATAACATATTCCTTTTATTTAATTTTCTGAAGATTCTGCAGACCTCCTAATTTTTATAACATATTCCTTTTATTTAATTTTCTGAAGATTCTGCAGACCTTCTAATTTTTATAACATATTCCTTTTATTTAATTTTCTGAAGATTCTGCAGACCTCCTAATTTTTACAACATTCTGCAGACTTTTTAATTTTTACAACATATTCCTTTTATTTAATTAATATTCAATCTTTTACAAAAATTATACATACATTGCAAAAATAAATTAAATTAAAAAAAAAAAAAATTACAAAAATCACAGAGTTTTGTAATTTTTGTAATTTTAAATTTTAAGGTGCCAGGTGTTTGAAACACCCAATAAATTTAAAGCCAAAATTAGGCTGGCAGGCACCCTAAAAATTTTCAAAATTTTGTTGTTGTTGTTGATTACCCACATTTTTGAATAAATGATCAAATTATTCATCAATCAAAACCTTCTCAACTGTAGTGGTTACATAACAATGAACTTTTTAAAAATTTTATCCTTAGTTTATTCAGAAATCTTATTTTTGCAGCAGAAAACATGCAAGTTTCAAGAAAAAAATATTTATTTTAGTATAAAGGTTATAAATATATGTCTTACATTAAATTGTCATATGCCTTTTATAAAATATAATAAACATATTACCTTGTTAGTAATATCTTTTTTATTTAATTTTTTTTATAATTTTTTGCTAATTTATTAAAAATAAACTTTAAACTAGTAGATTATCAAAAATCATACATCATGCTGACAAAGCAAAAAGAATGTGCTGAAATTGAGCAGACTTCAGATGATTTTCTTTCAATGCAAAGTGATAATCTAATGATGGATTATTGTGGTAAATATTTCATTTATCTTAAATGTAAATATTATTTTATTAATTATTTTATAATATTTATTAATTAATTTTTATACATAATTTTAAAACCCCAAAAGTATTTTCCATTTGACATATTGACATTTTAAAATAGTTAACCATAAATAAAAAGTCTTTTTTTTGTACCCAAAATTTAATAACTTCAAAAACTGTAATGCTAAACTTAAAATCTTCAAGGAACCAATCAGTGATCAGCAGTAACAAAAAAAATTGATTGGAACTACAGCTGATATTGCTAAAAGAAGCCATAAAAGACTAAACATCTTTTGCTGTTGAAACAAATCAAACAAAATGGATTCAAAAGTGTCCAATAGATTGTTGAAAAAATTAAAAATGACTGCATAATCAAGATTTTAATATTTTTTCACTATATACATTTGATATTTCATTTTAATATTATATTAATATAATATACCTTCCTTATATAATGATAGTAATGTTAAAATACAAAATTGTTTCCTGTTTTTTTTTTAGAGATGCTTGCGAGTAAAGAAAGCATTTATTTGGAATCTGATTGTAAGTTTAATTTAAAATTTTTTTATTATTTAATTAAATATTAATTAAAAATCAGTAAAAATTTGTTCTATTTTAATTTTAAACAAAAAACTTTCAAATTTGAAAGATTAATGTCCATAAAGAGTACAACTTTTGAGTTAATCTACTAATATTACAATTAGCTGCCTGGACCCATAAAATCGGCCATTTTAAGTCTGTTCAAAATCGACTATTTCTGCATTCATTCTTTTTATTCTTTATATGGTCTCTTTATTTCAACAATTTTTAATAAACAGTTAGAAAGCAATTGTTTTCAAAATCTTTGCATCTGATTAATCTAAAAAAAAGTAGTTAAAAAACGCAGTGACCCATAATAAGGGTCATGGTAGATCTGTTTCAAACCCACTATTTATATACTTATTATTTATAGTATATTTCAATAGGTTTTAGTGAATGGTAGAAGAGATTGATACTTCAACTTGGCTTTATGTTAATGATTAAAATTATATACTTTATAAATTCTAATAGTTAATGGGGGTTGGATGCTTTTAGTTACAATAAGAAAACTCTTTTACAATAAGAAAACTCTTTTACTTAAGACTTTAATAAACGCTTTTGTTGCAAATACCACACTATTAGTAAATGGTTATTGAAAATTGTTTAAAGAATTTTAAACATTTAATAACTATATTTTAGTAAATTTAATTTTAGTAGTTATTATTGTTTTAAATAATTAGTAATTAAATGCTTAAATACTTTAAACAATTTTCAATTAATATTTACATGTAAATATTAATTGAAAATTGTTTAAAGTATTTAAGCATTTAATTACTAATTATTTAAAACAATAATATTCGATGTTTTTCTGACTGTTTATTGATTTTTAAAGAGTTTCAGTTTTACTAAAGATTTAATTTTAGTTTTTTTTTTTAAAGAGAATTTTTTCTTTCTTCAAAAGTGTTGCAGATGAAGACTAAATTAATTAATTATATAAACAGTTTGTTTTTCTATATCACATAAATATAGCACTATAACAATATAACACTATAAATACATCACATGATAAGTTTAAAAAAAAAATGGAATTATGGCATAGTAATATAAAGAAAAAAATAACATATAAAAACTGGAAATCTATTGTTTTTGGTACTTTTTTTTTCAGAGAAAAGAATAATAAAGAAAATTTTGTAACTGTCTCTGTTAAACAGTGTTATTGTTTATAAGAAAACAGTTTTGAATCTTTGCTTTTATAGTGCTCTGTTTATATTACAAAACATGTTTTTCTAATTAATATCATAAACTTTAGTTTTTTATGCGACACAATGATTGCATATAAATAAGCAATGGATCTGTCCAGTTACTTAGACCTGGGAGACATGATAATCGTAAGAAAATATAAAATAAGTGGTAAGACTTTTGTGAAGTAAAAAAAAGAAGTATAGACGCTCAGTAGGGAAGGTGGAAAAACAACTAATGCTCTAGTCACTCTGTGCATAGATCATATGCAACAAAGAACAATTTCGATTTACTGGTATTAGAATGGTTTATGATTAGATGTGATGGTGTGGTGCATTAGTTTTGTTTGTTAATTTGTCTGGTATGGTCTTATGTCACTGCCCACTTTCATTTTGGGTGAATAGAAAGATAAACATACTCACTTCATGTACTTATGAGCTAGCACATCTAACAAGACAAACCTGCAAAATGGATTTCAATTGGTTGAATGCACACATTAGTCACTTTAGCCCAAAAGCCTTCACTCTTAGCCAAAAGAGTTAGGACCCCGTACTGGTGTGGAAGGATGTGCTATGGAGTGAGATTTTTGATCCAAGCACATAGTCAGCAACCACTGATCTGATGTGCATTGTGGACCTTCCAAATAAATGTGTGGGTGATGTCTATATAATTATTAGGTTATTGAGCATAATAACCACATCCAATGGGATAGCCTAATGTCTTTTTTATTGTTGTTGTGTACGTTGTAAGAAGTTGGGGCTCACAAGCCACAAAGAATTTATTTTAAATAGTTTATGCAACACAATAATTGCATATACACTACCATCCATAATTATTCAAATACTTACTTTTTGATATAAGATATTAAAGTTTTACTTATTATTAGGAGAAAAACTGAAAACAAAATCTACTTGAATTATGTGTTATCATTCTATTAATTAAGTTTACAAAAAAATTAATATAAAGTCTTATTAGATTAATTTACAATTTACTTGCCTATTAATCACCCTTACCAACAATAATATTACTAATAAGTTTTTTCCACATCTTATGCATCATTAGGCAGGGATGAACCTAATGATGCATAAGATGTGGAAATGTTTTAGTATTGCTGGAGTCGTATGGGCGCCCAAAAATTATTTTTCTTTTTAATTTTAATTTTGTTTTTTTAATAAAAATAGTAAAAAAAATTTCATTTTTAAATGCCGTAGTATATAAATAATTTTCAGTTAATTTTAGCTACCTCATTTTTTCTTCAGGTCAATAAAATGAATTAAAAAGAAATTGCTTTTTTACGTAAATATGTGGCGTAACTGACCTTTGGTTACTAACTGAACGTTAATTTAAAAAAAATGAATGCTGTTATGAAACTTAATTTTAAAAACTTGTTGCAAACTTTTATAACAATGGTATTTATACTTAATTTGCTATTTCAAAAGGTTTTAAAATATCCATTCAGAGTAAAGTTTACTTTTGTTTTTTGGCGATTAGGAGTAAACTGCTTTTAATAATAAATGAACAAAAGTAAAAAAATTTAGTCTTAACAACTATCGCACAAATTTAATTTTTGAATGAATGAACTTTTGATCTTTAGCTTGCTATTTTAGTTTACGTGAGGAAAAAATGAAATGTAAACTTTTTCAGAAAGTTTTTTTTCTTTTCCATATTCTTTTTGATTTTTAAAATAATAAAAATAACGATTACAATAATTTAATAAAAATTTTATTAAGATCTGTTTAAAATAACCCATTGTAAATGTACTTTATTTATTAAACATAATTTTTTAAAGTATAATTAATGATTAAAAAAAATATATTATATATTTTTTAAATTATGTTTACTGTAATTATCTCTACTTTAATTACCTTTAATTTAAAAGACGCTTTAAAATCACTCTAAAAATTATTAATCTTTAGCAAAAGTTAAATAAAAAGATTTGCTAATAATTAAGTCAAAATTTTAAAATTAAAATAATTGTAAATACGTTTATTAAATGCTTATGTTTTTTGTTTCAATAGTTATTCGAATATGAGAGGTAAAACTATTTTGTTAATTTTACAAATATAACGCGATTTAATATATGTAAATATACTATGTAATGTAAATATTAATTGAAAATTGTTTAAAGTATTTAAGCATTTAATTACTAATTATTTAAAACAATAATAACTACTAAAATTAAATTTACTAAAATATAGTTATTAAATGTTTAAAATTCTTTAAACAATTTTCAATAACCATTTACTAATAGTGTGGTATTTGCAACAAAAGCGTTTATTAAAGTCTTAAGTAAAAGAGTTTTCTTATTGTAAAAGAGTTTTCTTATTGTAACTAAAGGCATCGTCCACTGGTAAATACCTGTATTCAAAAAATGCCTTTAAATATTGATTGAAAAAACAATGATTAAAAATCATTGTTGCTGCACTGGTTTTAAATAGGGGAGGAGTAGGAAAGATGAGGGGTGATTCAAAAATATTCCCCCCTCCCCTCCCTGCCTTCAACATTGCCGATAAAAACCGTATCCCCAAATAAATTTTAGGTTCTTCACTGTTAGGCATTAGTTTTTGACATAATTTTAATTCATCCCTTAAAAATCCTATAATAAAAAGATCATGTGATTGGGAAGGCTAATTTATTCTATTCAATATTTAATCATTCTTAAACACAGTCAAATAATTTGTACAACTTTCTGAAGAATATGTTTTGGATTTAAGCTTGAAGTCATTTTCTTTTAAAAAGTTAATGGCTTTGCATTAACCCAACTTTCCAAAAATATAGCATTATTTTTTAAGTGTGCAAGCAAAAACTTACAAAATAAAATATTAAGTTTAAAATAAAAAATATACATACAACAATGTAAGGCCTAAGAATTGAAAAAAAACATGCTACTGTGAAAACGTAATTTGTGTAGTGGTTAAGTTTAAATAAACTGTAAACCAGTTAAACCAGTTATTATGAATCTTTGCTTTTATCGAGTTCTGTTGGCATTTAATAACATAAATAACTTTAAATAAAACTGTTTGAAGTAAACCCATGAAAAAATATTTTGTTTTTGCATAAGAAATTTTTTAACATGTAAAAATGCAACCCTTTTATTTCATGCTCTTGTTTTGTCTAATTTGATGGTATCTCGATAAAAATACTCATCTTGGGCAGATGTTAACTGCATCCAGCTAAAATTCCTTTGACTCTTGGTTGAGTAAAGGCTAGAGAAGTTATCTTGATAAAAATAAGGGAGAGTGGGGCACCATGGTATTTTTTAAACACATTTTTATTTAAGCAATTAGTGCAATTTGTACACAAAAATTATACTTTCAAAATTAAGTTCTTAAATTAACAAAATTTAAGAGGTCAAACTTGTAAAAACTTATTGAGTAAAATTTAAATTTTGTATTAAGGTATTTATATAACAAAAAAGAACAACTCTTTCTAAAGACTTTTTTAACCAAATAAATTTTTAAAATTAGGAATAGGAATCATCTTCATATCTGTTGCTATTATACTGCTAGCTTTTTCACAAGGTTTTCTTTTATTTTCTTCCTTTCAGCTGCCTTCGGAAATCCTTTAAACTGAGAAGGGCTTACAAAGTTCTTAAAGCTTTTCTGGTGAGAGTAACAAATTATTGTTATTCAAAGTTTCTCCAGTGTTTGTTTGATAAGTAGTTGGATTGTTATTATCAGTAACAACACTACATAAAAAATCTGCTTCTGAAAATACATTCTTGTCAAAAGGAAATATTCCATTTTTTCTAAATCCACTTTGAATGTTTGTGATAGTAAAACTTT